CAATGCCCCGTCTATACCTAGGCTGAATTATCTCTGTGGGAATTGGGGGGAGGGAAGAAAGGAGCCAAAGGCATCTATCTGCTCAGGACACCAATTCAGTCACCTGTCCATGTATATTTTTGGATTGAGCAACAAAGTCAAATGACTGAATACAGGAGATGATAAGCTCTGGAATGTGAGAGGACAGGATGGAGCAGCACCTTCCCCACCCCTTCACAAGGCAGGAAGAATAGGACCATTTCTGCAGCCCTCAAACCGTCAACTGTCTCAGCCTCACAGGTTTTCCTTTTGCCTAGAATAAAGTTTCTGAATGACAATAGCTATGGGCCAAATTTTCAAAAGTGGCATTGTGGCAGCCATGATATTTTAGCAGGTCTATTTGGCATTCAACAACTGTTCGTGAACATTAAATAAATGTGTTTTTATATTAACTTGGGTGACAGGGAAGGCAATATATAACAAGAGGAAGGTTGGCAGGGGAAGACATGGGGAGGAGTACAAGAGTTAAAGAGAATAGAGGCAAACACTGTTATATATACAATCCTGCAATAACATTGATCTACAGGTAGATACTTCTGGTGTGGTGCTGTAGGATAAGCGTAGGACTGCAAGGTCGGTTTGAATCACAAGGATGGCGGTTCAAACTCACCAGCTGCTCCTCAGAAACCCTATACAGGGGTTGCTATGACTTGGAACTGACTCAGTGGCACTTAACAACAACAATAACATGCTCCACCAAACTCATGTTTATGTTTCCATGTAACTTTTGTCAAACTTTTATATATCTGTGGGTATACTCCCACTCTTCCTCACACACCCATTCAGCCTGTGTATCTATCCATGTATCTACCTGTGTTTTTGCTGTCAAGTGCCATCAAGTTGGTTCCGAGTCATAGCGACCCCTGTATAGGGTTTCCGAGGAATGGCTGGTGGGTTTGAACTGTGCAACCTTGTGACTCAAACTGACCTTGCAGTTCAGCGCACTATCCTGCAGTGCCACACCAGGACAACATGGTGAAGTATTGTTGTTGTTATGTGCCATGGAATCGGTTCCGACTCATAGCGACCCTGTACAGGGTTTCCGAGGCTGTAAAGCTTTACGGGAAAAGAAAGCCTCATCTTTCTCCCATGATAGTTTCGAACTGCTGACCTTGAGGTTCACAACCTGTACAGGGAGAAAAATTATGAGAACTTCATGGACATTACCAAACACCTTGAGGGAATGATTGGATGGGCCTGTGGGCTCATGAGCATAGTTTCAGAGGGACACCATGGTCAACTGACATAGCATAGTCCAAAAAAAAAAACCCAATGTTCTACATTCTGCTTTGATGAGTAGCAACTGGAATCTCATGAGCTAAGGTGCATCTATTGGTCTTTGTCTGGAGAAAAGTTTGGACTAGTGTACCATGTGAACATCAGTCTCCACAACCCTGAGACCAGAAGAACTAGACAGTACCCTGCTACCACTATCAACTGATTTGAAAGGGATAACATTAGAAGGTCCTGGAGAGAGTGGGAGAAATGTAGAACAAAACTCAAATTCATAAAGAAGGCCAGACTTATTGATCAGACAGAGATTTCTGGAAACCCCTTGACTATTGCCCTTAATCACCCTTCAGATCTGGAACTGAACTCACTCCCATGGTTCAACTGGTGTACAGAAGGGGCAACAATGTTAATTCGAGATTAAAAAAAAAAAAAAAAAAAAGGCAGTATTTACCTAAAGACAAATTCCAGAAAGGTGGGGAAAGAAGGAGGAATGAAAACAAAAAGGGAGGAAATGGGATAAGTGACGTTATATTGAAGGGATTGCAATCCTTGAGATGGAACGAAGTGTATGATTTGCTAAATGTAAAACTAATGATCTCCTCTGTAACCCTTCACTCAATTCACAATCAAAAGTTAAAAATAAATAAAATAATGCAAAGAGAAAGGATGTGTGCTGGCTTGCAAATGTGCCCTTTGGTTGTTTAAACGATAATATATCCCTGCATGTTTTTGTGTACTTAAAAAAAATAATAAAAGAGGGATTAGAGGCAAATACTGTTAAATGATGGTGCATGGAGGGGATTTTTTCATTGAAATTGAATAAAATATGATTGGTTGAGTGCAAAACCAATGTTCTCCCATGTAACCTATCACTCAAGTCACAATAAAAAGATTTTTAAAATAAATAAACAAAATGTGTGTTTTAAAATAGAACTGGACAAGAAACAACTCTTTATGAAAAAATTATAATATATGGATTTTGTATGTAGCCAGTCAAATCCATTTTCTATATGATAAAAAATAATATTATGGACTTAATTTGGTGTCTCAGGTAAAATTTTTTGCAAACATGTCTTTCATTTTCTCCTACAATAAACATTTATTTCCTCAAATGAAAATAACACGATTTTGTTTTTGCTTATTAGAATAACCCATGCTGAGAGTAAAAAAAATGGAAATTTTTAAATAGTAAGAAAAAAATTAAACCTCATTCTGCTTCCCTATTTGACAACCCACCCTGTACCTATTAAGTGAAGGTCCCGATCAAAGGTAAAATAATCATAGTGGCTAAATGGAGACACCGATGGAGGGGTTAGGTGCCTTGGGAGCAAAGAGAAAAGGAAAAAAATTCCTCTGAGATGTACAATAGGCAGTAGCCCTCCGAGAAGATGTAACCCCTCCCTGCTAACCACAAACGGACAGAAGGGGCCACTTTGACCTCAGAGATTTGCAAAGCCAAAAATGAGTGACAGGGCCTCCTGCGGAGGGACTGGGCCGGGAGTGGGGAGCTTGGGTAGCGAAGGGAGATCTGCTGGCTCCTGATGCACTTTCTGCTGGTGAGAGGGAAATTAGGGACCCGAGCCCACTGGTGACGTTTCCCTCACGTGATTAGGAGCGGATGAGTGCAGAAGTCCCTTTCCTCCAGGTACCAGCTCCCTATTTCCGTGGAGGAAGGCAGACTTCAGACTGAGGGGCAAAGGGGGCAACTACCCTATAGCCCAGCAGGTAAATACAAGCCGGGATGGGGGTGGGGGAGGACAGTGACTACTGAGGATAGGGTCTGCTTCCCAGGTACCACTCTCCTCTCACCCTCCATTCATTTTGGCGCATAAAATTGTGTGAGTGTTGGGAATAAGTGGTCTGGATACCATCTCTTATATCCTTGGAGAAATGTGAGCTTCCGGCAGAAGGAAATGTGAGGAGGAGGAGGAAGCATGACCCTGGGATGCCTTCAAATCCATTACCACCTGCGGATCACTGTGGTTGGGGTTTCAGAGGGTAAAGATCACAGTGGGTCCTGGACTGCATTCTCTCGACCCCTTTCCCCCACGCCCACCCATTTGGTGCAAGAAACGGATGGTTTGTGGGGAGGCAACCAAGGGCGGTCAGGGTATGGGAACCAGTACTAGCTCAGATATTCTAGGAGACCAGCGGGTAGAGTCCGGGGAATGGGGAGGGCTGAGAGAGGGGACCGCGGAACCGCAGCAGGTCCAGGCCTGCATTTCCAGCATCTCTTCTCCACCCTCCGTCCATTTTGGAGCCGGAAATGGTGGGCTGCGGGGGCTGAGGGTGGGGGGAGGCTGCAGAGAAGGGCCACAAGGGTTTGGTCTGGGGACCAGATCCCTATTGCAGAGAAGTGGCTTCTGACCTAGGGAGGGTTACGAGGTGGTAGCATGGACCAATGTTTTACTTTGGGAATAATTTGTCTCCTGTATTGCGGGGAAATGTGATCTTTCCATGTATGTGTGGAGGAGAACGGGTGGCAGTGTTGCTATGGACATTCCTGCCCTGTCCCCTGCCACTACCATCATACGTTTTCTGAGAAGTGATGGGCTTTGCCTTATGTGAGGACCCTGGGATGAGACTGTTGGAAGGACGATTCCTCCAGGGGCATGAAAAATACCTGAATTTAGCCAGAGCTGCCTTCTGAACATCATCACTGCCCTGAACCCTATTCATTTTTAGTGCCGGAAATGGTGAGGGAGAAGTCTGGGAGGGGAATTCAGAAACATAGAAACACTTTTGAACAAACTTTGCTTCTTATTGCCCCATGTAGAAAAAAAACGGAGTTATTCAGGAGGAGCTGGAGAGGGAGAAATCAGAGAGGGCCAGTGGGTGGAAGGAGGTGGAAAAGTTTGGGCAGAACAAAAGTCTGAAATAACTGGTGCCCCATGGACCAGTCATTTATTTCTCAGTCAATCATTCACCCCCTGTCTCCTGTCTCTCTGCAGGTCTTCAAGTGTGGTTGTGGGCACAATACCAGACAAGAAAGGAGGAACCTTCAGGATCAGCCCAGGTCAGTAGGAAAGGGCAACTGTCCCATGACCCCTGGAGGCAGGAGTGGCTTAAGCCCGAGCAGCAGTTGGGAAGGCCACACTGCCTGCTGCCCTTCCTGAAGGTCTCCCTATTGCTCTCAGAATAGGTGGTCTGTGTCAGGTCTCTCAGGGAGCTTGTTGAAGGGGAAGTGGGAGAGGAGCAGGAGGGAAGACACTGTGAATACTCTCTGAGTTTACAAGAGGAGCACTGGAAACAGACCAGGCCATTGGTCTGTTCTGTCTGCAGTTCTATATGTATTAGGACTGATACACATAGAAGATCTAATACACATAGATGTTCTAATACACATACAAGGGAGAAAATAAAGAAACTGCCTAGGATTCTTGCAGGCCCGTGTAAATTAGGAATACCTAGTTAAAACTGCAAAGGCATAGCCAAGGCAAAGTTCAAGGATCAAATTACTCCTCTACACTTCTCAGCACACTCCACTTAAACATAGGCAAAAACTCCTGTGAATGTTTCCACAAGGTTGGCTCTTGTGAACATGTGTGAAAGAGGAGAAAAAGAGGAAATATAAGAGTGGGAATACATCTAGAAGGTGGGATAGGGTCAGGAAAGCCCTCAATCAGGAAAGGGTAATTCTATCCAGATAGCTAATGCTATCCATTCCACCCTCTAAGCCCTCATTCTCTTTTGTTTCCTAGGGCAGGCAAAGAACGGAAGATCTCAAGATGGAAAAGCTCTACAAAGAAAATGAAGGAAAGCCAGAAAACAAAGGAAACCTGGGAAATGAGGGCAAGCAAGAAGATGAAGTAGAGCCGGAAGAGGAAGGAAAGTCAGAAGGGGAAAAGCCAGGAGTGGAGGGGAAGCTAGAATACCAGGGGGAGCTAGATGATGAGGGAGGTCCAGGTGATGAGGGACAGCCAGAGGGAAAGACAGAGAAGCAAGGAAAGCCAGGAGATGAGGGGAAGCCACAAGGGGAGGGCAAGCTGAAGCCTGAGCAAAAGCCAGAGAGTGAGCTCCGGGCCGCCGAAAAGCGCCCTGCTGAAGATTACGTGCCCCGGAAAGCAAAAAGAAAAACGGACAGGGGTACGGATGATTCCCCCAGGGACTATCAGGAGGACTTACACGAAAGGCACTTGAGCAGTGAGGAGATGATGAGAGAATGTGGTGATATGTCCAGGGCTCAGGAAGAGCTAAGGAAAAAACAGAAAATGGGTGGTTTTCATTGGATGCAAAGAGATGTCCAGGATCCATTCCCCCAAAGGGGCCAGCGGGGAGTCCGAGGAGTGAGGGGTGGAGGTAGGGGCCAGAGGGGCTTAGATGATGTCCCATACCTTTAATGCCTTTGGCTTTCAGTTCTAATTCTCTGATGAGAATAGTGGCAGCCCAGCTTTCCCTGGCAGGCATTTGCCAGGCTCTGTGCTTTAACCTATGCTGATACGTTGCTTTAGGTGTCACTCTTGTTACCAGCAGCCTTTGACCCAACTGCAGCGCTCTGTGTTTCAGTAGGGGATTTTCACCCATGTGCATGGAAGAGATGTTCATGGTACCTTGTAAAATTAAAAAAACAAAACAAAACAAACAAACAACAACAACAACAACAAAAAAAACCAATTTGCAGAACCACATATACAGTATCAGCCCGTTTTTGTAAAAGCGTAATTTCCATAATATATCGAAGTATGGGGCAAACGATGACTATATGAACACCAAAAGGGAAGTTATGGTTTTCTCTTCATAGTGAAACTGGAGGAGATATTCATTTTTCTCATCTGATCTTTTATCCCTGAAAAGTTTTGTCAGAAAAAGAAACAATAGAAGAAAAACAAAATGTTTTCTAACAAAACATAATAGATCTGAAGAACGGATGAGTAGACTTGTAGAAGTAGTACAGCCACTTAAAAATCATAGTATCAGAATATTATTATAAATTATAAAATGGCAGGTTAGACTCATTGTGGGATTTGTAGCTGGAGAAATCCACCTGACAGTTATTACATATCCTTTGTTTGTCATCTGTGACATGGGAATCCTACTGGCTTCTCAGGGCTGCTGAGTGGATGAGGCACTGAATATGTGAGCTGTGTTGGACTGGTTCCTACTCTCTCCCTTATACTAGAAGAACTTCAGTGGACACTAGGGGGGAGGGTTGAAGGAGGTCTCACTTATATCCAAAAACAAGTTCAGGCAGCTGAGTTGAGGGTGCCACCCTACCCTGGGCATGGCCCTGTCTGCTACATACTGTGCCTCTTCTCCAGGGTCCTGGACCCTCAATAGGGACTCACTACTGTTGGAGTCCTGGTGTGGTGCTGTAGGATCAGCACTGGACTGCTAGCCACAAAGTTAGTGGTTCCTACCCACCAGCTGTTCCTTGGAAACCCTATACTGGGTACTATGAGTCAGAACTGACTCGAGGGCATTTAACAACAACAACAACAACACTGCTGATGTCAGAAGAAAGATGAGGCTTTCTATTCTGGCAAAGATTTTTAAAACCTCAGAAATCCTATACAGGGTCGCTGTGAGTCCGAACTGACTTGATGACACTTAACAACTGCTGATGTACTGGAATCTTAAAGGTGACAAAACTCAATTGATTTCCTTGGAGTCCCCAATGAATTAAACCCCCACTATGCTTCCTAGTAAGGAGCTCTGGTAGCGTAGTGGTTACGAATCAGGCTAACCTCAAGGTCGACAGTTAGAAACTACCAGCGGTTCCGCGGGAGAAAGATGAGGCTTTCTCCTCCTGTAAAGAATTACAGCCTCGGAAACCCTGTACAGGGTTGCTATGAGTCGGAATTGACTCCACGGTACTTAACAACAACATGCTTCCTACTAAGGAGCTCTGGTAGCGTAGTGGTTATGAATCAGGCTGCCACCTCAAAGTCAGAAGTTCGAAACTACCAGCAGCTCCGTGGGAGAAAGATGAGATGTTCTGCTCCTGTAAAGATTTACAAAAGCCTGTGCAGGGTCACTATGAGTTGGAACTGACTCCACGGTACTTAACAACAACAATAAATTGCTCCCTACTGAAATGTGGAAAATATTCATGTTCTGATTTTATATTCATGTCAATCCTGACATGAAGTTTGAGAAAGTAAAATCATAATGAATATATTTGTCTGGCACTTTTAATTACCCTACTGCTGCTGCTATATGCCATCAAATCAGTTCTGACTCATAGTGACCCTGTGTAGGGTTTCTAAGGCTATAAATCTTTATGGGAACAGCAAGCCTCATCTTTCTCCCACGGAACAGCTGGTGGGATTCGAACTGCTGAACTTGTAGTCAGCAGCCCAATCAATATATAACCCACTCAGTTGCCAGGGCTGCTTACTCCACTGTTGTGTGCTGCTGATTTGATTCCTACTCATAGTGACCCTGCATAGGATTGCCAAGGAGTCGCTGGTGGCTTTGGCCCCATAAGGTATGTATGACAGAATGTGTGTCCAATGCTTATCCTACAGCCCCACACCAGGACTCCAAATCACCCTACTTGACTTGCCCTTTTCAAAGCAAAAAAAAAATTTATCTTACTGATTCTAGTATCCACGGCACATAGTAAAAGGTTTTAAAATTCAATATATTAATTATGATTGAGTCAGAAGACCTCAATTCTTGCCTAATTGTGTCCCTGGTTGAATATATAGTCAAGAACACATACTTTGTGCCTTAGCAACCGAAACTTGCCACTCCAAAAGGAACACAGCTGCCTGGACTTATCCCAGGAGACAGGTTAGACCTCTCTCAGCTCTCCTCCACAACAAAAGAGAGATTTTACCACAATCCATTGTCAAATGACTTTTAATATTGGATATAATAGTGTTTCTTGAAGTTGGGTAGTTACTAAGTTACTAGCAGACCACCTGCAGCAGAACCATTTTGTTGAAAATGCAGAATTCTGCATTTTCCCATCTCAGATCCAATGCATCAGAATTTTTTTTTTTTTTTAACTTTTTACTGTGAATTGCATGGTGAAAGTTAACAGAGCAGATCAGTTTTCCATTCATTAATTCATACATGTACACATTTTGTTTCACTATTGATTGCAATCACCTCAAAGTAACATCACTTATCCTACTTCTGTTTTTTGTTTCCATTCCTCCTTTCCTAATTCAGAAGCTCTTCTGATTTGTCTGCGTAAATTGAGAATGTGTGTGTTAGTGTGTCTTTTGCTTTTAGATTATCTCCATGGCACATTCACACTTTCTTGGAACAACTATTGTAAGCATTTTCTTTCTTACTTAAAACAGCTTTATTGAATTTACTGAATTTACACACCACAAAATTCAACCTTTTAAGTGTACAATTTGGTGGTTTTGAGTATACTAACAGAATTGTGAAACAATCACTATTAGCTCATTCCAAAACATTTTTGTCACCCTAAAAAGAAGCTTTATACCACTAGCAGTCATTTCCCATCTGCACCTCCCCCCCCAACACTTGATATAAACAGTCTACTTTCTCTGTAAACTCCTTTATTCTGGACCTTTCATATAAATGGGATCATGCAATATGTCTGGCTCTTTTCACTCATATAATGATTTCAAGGTTCAAGCATAACTTTTATCAATACTGAACATCTATGTACAAGTTTTTGTATGCACCTGTTTTTAATTTTCTCTGGCATATACCTAGAAGTGGAATATCTGAGCCATATGCTAACTCTATGCTTAATTTTTTTGAGGAACTTCCAAACTGTTTTCCCTGCAGTGTATAAGAGCTCTGGTTTCTCGACCTCTTGCTAACATTGCTATTTTAAGACTTTCCGATTATACTATCCTTCTTGTTATTATGTGTGAAATGCTCTCATTGTTTTATGTACATTTCCCTAATGCAAATAAATGCATTTGGTTAATGGTGCTGCTGGGCATTTCTGCATGTACTTACTATTTGTATATATTCTTTGGAGAAGTATCTATTTCAATCCTTCGCCCATTTTAAATTGAGTGGTCATTATAGTTGAGCTGTAAGAATTCTTTGTATTCAAACTATAGGTCCCTTATCAGATATATGATTTGCAAGGGATACTTCCTGACTTGTTAATTTTAGCAATTATCTATTGACTTTCTGATATTATTGAGTAGTTTTCTCTCACCAATAATCCCCACCATCTCTTGCCTGTCTCCCAAATTTAACTTCAGCACAGAAGATCATTTTACAAGCATCTCAGGTTATTTTGTTGATTAACTCTGACACCGACTTGTGTATTTTTCAAGTTAGGCTAAGCTTATGCTAGGGTATTTAACAACCACAAAGCCTCTGTGGCTTAACACAACAAAGACTACTCAAACTTGATTAGGATCCATTACAGAAAGACCATGTTCTCTGTAGTCTCTCAGCCACCCAAATTAGGCATGATGTTACAATGTGGAACATTGCTAACCACGGCAGCCAACAAAGAGACTGTACAGAGACCCCACATCCATTTTTCTATGCTTTGGCCCAGAAGTGACATGTCACCACTGTTTACAGCCCATTGCTTCAGATTTCTAAATCCTGTAATTCTGACAAGCAATTCTACGGTGGGTGGCATTATCCCCCCATATAGGAGCCCTACTATGGCGCTGCAGAATAATGCACTGGACCGCAAGGTTGGTGGTTCAAACCCACCAGCCACTCCTTGGAAAGAAACCCTATACAAGGTTATGAGTCGGAATTGACTCCACACGGCACTTAACAATAGATGACTAAACTGAGGCTTAAAGAGAATAGGTTATTTATTAAAGGTCACATACAGCAAAGGCAAAGAGCCCAATTTGAAACCCAGGTTTATTTGACTCTAAAAACCATAATCCTTAAACACTTTAATGAACCCAAGGATTTGGATTTTCTCTTTATGTAATGGCCCAACCAGTCCTTCAGTAGGTCAGAAAAGCTATGCTTCCTCGATCTAAAAAGCAAAGTTCACGACATTGCTTCCTCCATCTTCCTGCCAATTCACAGCTTGACTGCCTTGGTCCCAAGTCATGGACTAGGCATGCAGTGCATCAGGGTGGTCATGCCTTGTCTTCTGAGTTGCAGGACCACAATGCCTGTCCTTGGGAACATCTCTGTGCCTGGGGTTTCCTGTATTTGTGGGCCTGGGAATACTCAAATATCAGAAGCACTGACCCCATCATCACAGAACCTCCAAAATAGGCCTGGTCACAATAAAGGTTCCTCAGAGTCTGAGCAAGGTGGGTGAGGGGAGGAGGGACAGACCCATTGTTCTGGGAACTGCTTCACTGACTCTGGAACAAGGGTTATCCATTTCTGCTTCAACCCTGAATTACCTGGTCAGACCCAGAACAGACAACTGCTTGGAAAGGACTAGCACAACCAATGTTTCCAGTTAAGA